TGAGTCGGCTACTGAATGATTAACCCTTTGACTGGCGCTCGCGCTATCAATCTGTCCGTTACGCTGATTCGCGATCTTACGATTTCTCTCTCTCCCTCTCTCTCTCTCTTTCTTCTTTTTTGTGTTTTGTTGTTGATGCTCCGCACACACAGTTCGATTAACATATATTCAGCGCATTCTATTTAAATTAATTATTACGTGGTCACACACACACGTCACGTCTATTAATAAAAATTTTCCATTATTCTTATTTGTTTTTCAACAAGATTTCTCGTTTTTTTCTCCGCCACGGTCGTATACTAATTAAGATGTCAAAAGAGATAAATTGCTTAATTAATTTATGTGTTATTACGCACGAAATCGTCTTGTTTTGCCAAAAAATTTCCTGAGAAAATATACTGAAAATTTTTTTTCAACTTCCAAAGTCCATAATTTTAATTCGAAAAGCTACCAAAAATTAAATTTAACGCAAAAAACACACAGTTTACACAGTTCTCGCTTTTGACATTTTACATAATGAAAAATGTCCGCACGTGTACAGAACAAAACTATTTTTTGTTCCGGTGTTTTTATTGTTTTTAGTTGTTTAGAACCACATGGAAAAAACTGACATTAAAATCAAGTTCACATTAAAATTAATTGAACATCCAATTAATGCGACATCAATATTATCGATTTACATACAGGAGATAATCTGACTTTAAAAATTTAAATATCAAATTAATCGCATATGCGTTTAAATCAACGACGAAGCGTCGTATTTATTTTTGTGACGTCGCGACTTTAAATCTTTTAATTGAAGCAACTCTATTTTTTTCCAGTTATATAATCACGTCACTTCTTTTTGGTCACACACACACAGTTTCTAGACCGTAATCTTGAGGATCAACTTTGTCGATGCTCAAGAATGAGGCGAGAATCAAGATTAGTAGACGAAACCTCTCTCTCTCATGCGCGAGGGAGACACAACGGGCGCGAAATTATACGTCGCGCGCCCGGAGCCCTCTCCCTCATTAGACGATCGGAAAGCTCAAATCCGGAATGCATGCGCGTTTCTGTCCGCGTGCGCATTCTCTTCGAATGATAATATTAGAATGGTAGCAGAGTCGGCAATTACGCGTGTGTAGAGGGACGAGCCCCGCGGTAAATAACAACCGAATTTGCATCGAGATACAATCGGAGAAACTCTTTCTCGCTCGTCTTTCTCTTTCTCGCTTTCGTCTTCTCGACGAAAAAATTTTCGGGACCGGCAATTAGCAGTAATAACCCATTCCGCGCGCCAATCAATGCTAATTGACATCGGTCAAGCGAAGCCCGGGAAGCGCGAGAAAGAACGTCCGGGGAGTGTAGTTTCTATTCGGACGCACCTGCACCGAAAGAGAGAGCCCGACGAAAATTGCGCGCAATTTGCGCAAAAATAAAATCAAAAATGGACCGGCACGACACACGAGCGGATTCGAAAAAGGAGAGCTTCGGCGCGCCGGCTCTCCTCTCTGTTCGCGCACAGGGCGGATGCACGCTTCGAGTGGCTAATTTTCTTCCTTCTCCTGACTATTCCCCCCCTCCTCCCTTCTTCTCCCCTCAATGTCACTCTTTCTCTCTCTTCGCGGCGATTTCCCGTCCTCCTCGCGCGATATCCTGTACTCCTTCCCTTCCTCCCGAGGACGAGACGACCAGCGCTTTTGATGGAGGACATCTCGCCGCTAATTATGATTAATTTGTAAGACGAGCGAGCGAGGACCTCGAACCCGGGAGCTACCGGAGGGATCGGGATGCAGAAGGGAGTAGAAGGACAGGGGGAAGGACGTAATTAATATTCTCAGCGGGACGGCGTTGCAACGTCACGTGAACGTCACCCAGGTGACTCCGTCGACGATTTCCCCGAGATAGTTCCGAGATGCGCAGCCTCCTTTCGTACATATATACACACGCACGCACGCACGCACACACTTGGTTTGTGCGCCGCCGTAATTACGCGTTCGATATAATTGCGCGATGATTATTCACGACTGGTTATCCCGCGCGCCTTTAATGCGCGAGTTGTTGAGACGCGAAAGAGAGTTACGCGCGGAGGACGAAGAGTCGGAATGGAGATCACGCGCGGAACATATAAATCCTTTGTTCTCCGCGAGATAATATTATCGAGTCCCTCGCGATTTGTAGCCTCGGACGCTTTTCTCGACGAAGAAAAAAAAAACAAAATATCAAATAAATGAATTTCTTTTTTGTTTTTGAACCGTGTAAAAACGCAACGTGTACTTTTCGAGAATTTCACGCGCGCGCTTCTCGATGATTCGCATTTCAACAGCGCGACGAGACGAGATTAATTGACTTTTCAAATTTTTAAGTACACGTTATCCGTGCCACGAAACCGAAACCGGACGTATTATTCGATACGTAGCCCAAGTTTTTTTCGCTGTCTTATTTCGATTTCTCGCGCACAACGTACCTACCGTAATTGCACCCGCTCGATATAATTGCGAGCGATTACTGTTAATTACTGTTTAATAAGAATTAAATTGCCCCGACGTCACGTTGCCGGCTCTGGTTTTGTCCCTCTTTTGTTTTTCTTCTTCAATCGCGTGTGACCGTAATCACGGATCAAATATAATTACGAATAATTATCGGCGATTATTTTAAGTTAAGGTCGCTCCGCGAAATTGAGAGAAAGAGAGAGAGAGAGAAACACCATTTTTCTTCAACTTCCGACGAAGAGAGAGAGAGAGAGAGAGAGAGAGAGAAAGAGAAAAAAAATTCTTACCGAGCGAAGTGAAATTACCCGGTGCAAAATTATAAAGTAAGTTCCCGATTGTTTTTAATTGCTTCGAAATAATAAAAGATGAACTCGCACTTTGGGGAGGAAACACGCGTGACCGGTGTTATTGACTCGCAATGTGGTATATCGGTGATTATTACACCAATCAATTCGCGTCCGAGTAAAAAGAGAGGGAGGGAAAGGGAAGAGAGAGGGCGGCGTGGCGAAAGGGTTTAATTACGTGCGTCTCGGCGCGATGACGAAGACAAATACCTAAGTGTGATTGCCAGTAGTAAACTCGTCGAGTTTTCGATCAGCTGGTCCCACCGTGACTAAAGCTGGCCGACGTGCCGGTTATAGCGCTAAGAATGACGACCGTTACCCACCTGGACGTGATTGAGTCGCGTTCGGATTTCAGGAAGATCTTTTTCGACAATTCTATGAAAACAAAAACAAAACAAAGAAAACAGTCTTTCTCTCTCGCGATCGTGAATTATTTTCCCTTCCCGCGTGCGAGAGAGAAAACGCGCATTATCTCGCGCTTCTCCGCTGGCGCAACGCCAACCGATCGGATTTAAATTCGTAGCCCACGCGTATCGACCGCGCGCGCGCGGAGAGATATTTCTGCTATAAATTATATGTACATGTACCGCGCTCCATTTGTTATAGGCCTTTGACACGCAGCGCGGTCTCGAATCGACTTTCGGATGAAAGAAGCTACGAAAACTTTCTCCGTGAGCGAAAGCTTCTTTTATACGCGGTTTACTGAGTTTTACAGCAATTAATTTTTAAATCAACTTCTTCAAAATACGTCGTTCGAAGACGAGACGCGTTTATTTTCACGACGATCGACCCGAATTGAAGAGCGCGTTGATTTCTCAACGCTGTCTAATTTATATATTCGAACGTTCTCGAACACATCCCACCAACTCCAGGACCATCCTCCGAGCCGCGTCTGTCGATCTTCCTTTTTTTTGCTCGAGGAGCAATCCGAGGTGTCACGCCTAGTAGCCGCGGTTAGTCGCGCCGGGAGAAATTTTAATAAACGGTTTCCCGCGATCTTTCTCTCACTCTCCTCGCCATACGCGCACGTATACGTACGCGGCTCCCCGAGTGTGGAGGTGTTGCCCGGTGCCTGGTAGCTGGCAGGACGACGCGGCCGAGGGAGAGAGGTTAATCACCCACGCTGGATTTTAATAAACGGTTCGGGGGGCAAACAAAGCTGGCCATCAATAACCACGGCGCTCTCGGCCTGCCTCTCTCGCTCCCTCGCGCTCCGTCCCGCTCCCACCTATCCGTGGGGCCCACCTCGCCGCCTGACCGACCCGCGGCCATGCCAGGGCCTTTGCCACCAGCTTGTCGAGCCTCGCAGCGGACAGCGAGATAGGCGGAGATCGTATCTCCGTGGTTATTAATTAACCGGCGAGAAGGGAAGGCCCCCTTTCATCACCTCGCAAACGATCTCGCCTTCAGCGAGAGAGGCCCCTCGGCCTTGCCCTAGCATACAGATAGCGATACATGTTGTACAGCTCAGGGACCACTCGCCCGATACGCTTCGATCCCGCGCGTTATATATACGGGGGGAGGAGCGGGACGACTGATCGTTACACGAGAGAGAAAGAGTAGGAGCTCTGACGAAATTACGCATTGTAGACGTTATTAGCCGTAATAATATTGCGGAAATTTTCTATGAGCGAAGCACGTAACAACTCTCTCTCTCTCTCGTTCGCGAATTTTACTTTGTTTATCTGCTGCACATCAACGCGCGTCGATGATGACGGAAATAAAATTTCAAATCGTTATCTATTGAAAAAAAAAAAAAAAAAAAAAAAAAAATGAAAAAAGAAGAAAGTGAATTGAGTTTGTTTTGACAACAAAAAGTTGCATCTTGCCGGTTGTACAACAGCAAATCTTTTTCGTTTTTTGTGTACGTCAAAAAATATCGGTAATGTCTAAATTCGCAGCAACGATAAACGGAACTGTCGTGTATATATCTTGCGCGTGTTTTTTTTTTTACTTTTTGTTTTACTTTTCGATAAGAACGCGCTATAAATAGAAACGCGAGATTTATGTTACGCGCGTCTCGCAGCGAAGAAATGCAAGGCGCGATTATCTTTCCGCGATACGGGATTTATAGCGGAAGTGAAATAGGAATTCAACGAGTGAGATTTCGCGCGCGTATCCCGCCGAGTGTATCTCGCGGAAAAATCAATATATGAGCCGCGGGCGTGTAATGGGCACTTACCCATTTATGGACGTTCGACTGATGAACCAGGATAACGCCGAGCTGGCTAACGAGTGCCAGGCCTGCAGAGGTAGCGAGTCGGATCTCTCCGCGGATCTCACGAGGAAAATTTCGGCGGCTTTGTCGGGCTGGTCGGCGTTGGGGCCGGTGCCGAGGGGAACCCACAGATCCAGCAGATCTTCCCTGATCTTGCTCTTGTCCACCCTATACCACTTTAAACATAATATATGCATAATTGTTTTCTTTTTCTGGGTTTGTTTTTTTTTATCTTCTGCGCGTTCAAATAACGAAGATACTTCGCGCACACATGCACACACATATTTCGTTCACGCAACTGCACGCATGCACACAAACATATGTATTTTTGCGGAATATCTTCGAAAAAAAAAAACAGAGAAATAACAACACACACATGAGGATAAAAAGCCTTAATGAAAATTGATTTTCTCAGAATTTCGCACAATCTCATGAGGTCATTTGATCGCTAAAATCATCGTGCCGTTACAAAGTACATCAATTTGCGGGAATAAAATTCGCGAGACTCCAGTACATTCCATTAACGTCCCACCGGGTGGGCCGTCGAAAATGTATTTCTCGCTTCATTACCGCGGCGTATTACGGTATTAACGATATATATATATATATATATACATACATATATATATCTCTCGGCGTCTCCTCGCGGATCAATTTTCCCTTCGCAATCGCACGACATTCGACATTTCGAGAGGTCGGCGCAATTACGCGCTACCGGATTTCTTCTCTCGCACTTTTTTTTTCTTCTTTTCTCCACCCTCTTGCAAATTGTACATCCGAGGGAGGAAATCCGTCGTCGACGACCACGGATTCGTCGTCGGATCGACGACGACCAATCATTTTTCGACACACGCGAGTTGAAATAAAACTCGAAAATTTTATTTATTTCATTAAGGCGCCGCGCGCAGGCTGCGCGCTGCCGGGGCGTCGACGACTAAACATTTTTCGCTTCATTATCGAACGCGCGTATATCGCGACATTAACGTTCTCTCGCCCCGCGCCGCACGCCGCGCGCGAAGGAGAACCGCGAAACGCCGCACACAGTCCGAAAAGCAATTACGTTGACTGGCCGTTCGGTTGGTCGGTCGGTCGGTCGGTCCACCGGGCCCTTGCGCTACACGACAGATATCCGATTTCACCGTCAGCTTCCGAGAATGAGAACCAATTACGCGGCCCCGGGGCATTAAGGAATCGATCTAATTTGCGCGCGCGCTCGACTCGGCGCGGCGCGGAGCGGAGCGGCCGGCTCTTAATGGCGAGAGAGCCGGCCGATGAAATTATACGAAAATGTAATCAAGGCGCTTTTTGTCTCGTTTCGCTTCGAGCGGGGCAGGGGCGTAATTAGGAATGCTTTTGCGCCTCGCGACGGGGGACACTTGTTGCTCGCTCTCCGCCCCCCGCCCCTCTCCCGCTCCCTCATTTTCTCACAACGCGTCTCTTTCTCTCGCTTCTTTTTCTTTATTTCACCCTTTCGTCCTTCTTTTTTCTCTTTGTCTAACACGCGGATCGCAAAACCGCTGTCGCTCTTTCTCTCTCTCGTTCCCTCCCGATCGTGCGTCCTCCTCTTTCTCTTGTTTCTCTTTAAATTTCTCTCTTTCTCCGGTAGTCGAGAGCGAAAAAGGAAGAAGGAGTCGGCAGAGAGGAAAAAAGCCGGGAGATGGAAGGACTTCGCCACAGAAGGAGAGTAATTAACACCACGGTGCCCAGGTGCGCGGCCCTAAGAAGTCGTTTATGGATTGCTCGGCTGCCGCGTAGCCCGGCCATCAATTAGATTCTCTAATTAAAACAGTCCGCTCTTCTCGCCGCGAATGGTGCATTAACTCTCTCTCTATCTCTCTCTTTCTCGCCCGGCCCCACAAAGTTCCAACGATCGACTTTGTCATCGTCCACCGGGCGGAGGCGCGACGGATCGTCGTGTTTCTTGTTCGACGGCAGCTTGGCCGGCATCGATAAGACCCCGCGATACATAACACCTCGAGTCACTTACGGGTATGAGAACGCCGGACTTTCGCAAAACGCTCTCGATCGATGCCGGATGAGTAATCGTGTTTCGACCGCGCCTCCTTAACGTTTTACATCTTTGAAGGATAAGGAAAGAGAGAGAGCGAGAGAAACTTTTTTTCGATGATTCGAAATAATTTCGCAACACACAGTGAATTGCAGAACTTTAATACGAACGAACGAAATTCGATTTGTGACCGCGTCTTCGTGAATATCGGCACAGTAATAAGTTTCTCTCGAGCGTCAATCTCGTTTATTCTCACGCGTCAGTTCCTTTCGCAAATAATAATTTTTTTTTCACAATTTGCAATAGAAAATTTAAACAAACGAGAGAACTCGTTCAACGGCGTCGCGGCGAAATAGCTTCACGGTGTTTAACGCGACCGAATGACGTTTTCTGTTCTTTTCTGTTGTTTCTGGTCGCAAAAAAAGTCTCATCATCATCTTCTTTCCGAGGTAGGGTAATACCGAAACAAAGAAGTCTTCCATGCGATGCGTGGAAGTGCGAAAGCGAGCGCGCGCACCTTTGTGGCGTTCGCGAGAGAGAACGCCGCGCGTGCAATTTTAATTATGGCTACCAGCGTGTGTCGCTAATTGCAGGTAGCCCGGACGGACTCACCCCATCACGTCATCACACTTTGATTCGACTTTTTCTCCCGGGGGCATTACAAATGGCTACCGACGTGGTCGCGCGCGCGTTGCCGGACAGCATTCCTCTTTGTGTCATTAGTGGCGACTTTCTGCGCAGCACCGGAGCCCCCGAAAGGTAGGAGGAAAGAAAAGGAAGGAAGGAAGGAAGGAAGGAAGAAAGGTATAAGATCCGGTCTACGCGCCGCGAGAGAGACGCAGACGAAGAGACAATCGACTGCTCCGCGCACCTTCCGTGTAGCACGCACCAATCGCGCCTCACCGACAACAAGTAGCCGACTCGGAAATCGCAGCCATCTAAATCAACGTCGCGCATTCACCGCGACGAACCGGCGAAATGAAGAGGAGGTTTGACGTTTTCTCCTCGGAATATTCGCAAGATGCGCGCACTCGCGTTACACAGGTTTTCGGTACAAAGCGCAACGATTTTCAGAATCTCATTACAAGATTTGAATTACAACAGCTATTTTTATGTCGCTCTACAAAGTAAATATAATATTTACTTACATTTCAATATTTAAGTAAGTAAACATAATATTTTTACATTTTGTCAAATACATATTCGACAGGGAATAAATATCGAGAAAGTTTCGCAATAAAAAAATTGCTGTATATTTTTTTTATCCCGTGTAAAAGTTTCAATAAAGACAGAAGAATATTGCAAAATCTGTTCAAAAAATGCATCGCTAGAAGTGCGCGAGAAAGAAAGACAGAAAGAGAGAGAGAGGGAGAGAGTGCAATTTTCTCAAATATAAAATAACAGGGTGGCGCGTTGCTGTTACGTGATTACGCCGTTCGCCGTGTAACAATGGCGAGAAGGAAGTCTCGCTGTATGATTTGAGATCCGCGAGAGAGAAAAAGAGAGAGAGAGAGAGCGGAGTTTGTTGATCATCGGCGGGAGAGTTACGTTCGTAAGGTAAGCACTTCGTCCGAGACATTTATGCGTCGCTTTATACCCTTCACGGTGGCGCGGAGCATGGGAAAACTTGTAAAACGTAAACGTGGAAATATAAACTATAACGTTCGACTGTCATCGCGCGCGGACCGTGTTGTTACGCGCGACATGTGTTTACCGAATCGATATGTTTACCACCGGCTTGCTTTCGCGAATTGTGCAGCTCCGAAGTTTCGCCGCTCGGATGTTTCCTAACGAGTTTTTTTGCGAATAAATACACGAACGCCTGACGCATCATAAATAATCATTCCTCTCAGATTAACGAAGTTCGAACAGAAATACGACGAATTAAAACAAACAACGCGAGCGTTTTGACGTTATTATTCGGGATGGCGATTTGTGCGCGCGAGGTTCCGTTCGTTCTTTTTCTCGAAATCTCTTTCCCATGTCCAGGGAGATGGGAGAGAGAAAGACTTGCGCGCGAGAAGCACGCGTAAACCCGGAGCAAAGTGCGAACGATAAACAACGCTGTCGAGCGGTTTATGCTTTCCGCGCGAATACTGGGGATGTTTGGCTGCTCGACTGCGCGGAACTCCTCGGATTCCTGAGGCGTGTTGGATCGCGACTCAAACGCATTCTCTTCCCGTGCCATTATGTTATTGCTGCCGGGGCGGCGGCGCGGTGGCAGGCCGCGTTATATCGTGGGAGAAGAGCGACGCAGACGAGAGAAAATCGGCGAGAAGACGAGCTCTTTCTATTTCTCTCTCTTATCCGAGAGAGAAAGAGATAGTTTGTCTTCTCGCCGATTTTTTTCTCCGGAGAAAGAGCTTTTCACTTCGACGACGAGGGCGAACGGTGGGATATTACACAAAGATTCGCATGTACAGTTATCTGAAGACTACGTTCCCCCCGTTCCGCTTTTTTTCTCAGCTCACTCGGGGGGAATCGTTTTCTAATTAAAAAAAAAAAAAAAAGACAGATTCCCGCGTTATTTGTTATGTGGAAATGTAAAATATGAAATAACTTAAAAAACCATAATGTGAAACATGAGGGTTAAACGAAATTCGTGAGAGAAGCGAGAAAGTTTTTTCTCAAGAAATCAGCCTGCAAGGTTAACCTGCGTCGAATCCGCTTTATGATCACACGGCAATAAGTCTGCAAACGCTCTGACGAAAAGCAGCCAGCGGGAAACTCAAGAAGCAACGCGGGAGGAGCGCGAAGCGAACTTGCTACCTACCCCTTTCGCAAAAATCACACGAAGGGCGCGCGGAGTGTCTTGATTGGAAAAGCAACGAGGGTGTAACTAACCGTGAGGATTTTTCATCGAGAGAGATCGACGATCGGGCTAACGAGGCCGGCGCGCCTAGAATATCAGTTCGTTTGTAACAAAAAAAAAAAAACATCAAAAAATATCTTCGTGTGATAACACAAATAATTTTTCCTTGTTTACAATTCGATAACAGTAAAACTCGAAATTATTTTTCTCATTAAAACTAATAACAAAGATAAACTAATTTTTATAAAAATATAGAACTTACGTATTGTTTTTTTTTTACTTCAAGATAAAGTGAAGAGTCACGCAACGCACGCACGGATATAGTTCGGATATTATCAGACATAAACAACTTTGAC